GCCTGACACCGTTTCGATACTTTGCTCTGGGTGGCATTATCCCTTGCGTCTATTATTTTTAATTTTAATCGTTATAGACACACGATTTTACACACATGATTTATATCGTTTTTAAAAGTGCTGTTTTCATATTCGTCTGTTGCATTTCATTTAAAAAATGGAGTAATATTTCATTTTTATCACTATGTTGCCAACTATTTACTTCAATTTAGAAAGTGTTTGTATTTAAATATTTTATATTTTATATTTTATTATTTTATATTTTGTATTTAAATATTTTATATTTCATTTTCATATTTACAGAAATTAAAATTGTTTGAATTTCTGTAGCCTGTCAACGCATAGTCATATACAGACATAGTATATAAAATGAAGATCAAACATATAAAACGAAGTCTTCTAGATTAATGTTCTTATTTTTTAAGCTTTAGTCATTTCATATTAAAATATTTATCATAATAAATAAGATAGTTAGAACGTCATATAATCATAATAAACGTCAGCATAATAAATAAGATAGATAAAACGAAGTCTTCTAAATTAAAGTTCTTATTTTTTTAAGCTTTAGTCATTTCATATTAAAATATTTATCATAATAAATAAGATAGTTCCCTGTTTAAGAATCAATTTAAACATTATCAATAAACATCTATTTTATGATACATTTTGAACTTTAAAATAGGAAAACTTTTATGGAGTTTGATCTACTGTGAGTTTTCTTGAAAAATCTTTACTTCAACACAAAAATTCGAAATATTCCTTGCAGAATTAAAAAGGGGTAATTACGTCGAGCTTTTTAATACCATGTGAATTACTAGTAGAAAGGAAAATTATACGTCTTTCATATGCAAGGTAATTTACATTTGTTTATATTGCAAACGAGGAAGAATATTTCTTAACATACGTGGAACAAATTAAACTTAAGACTTGAAGAAAACTTTATATATCAATTGAGCTTTGAGTTTTCCTAATTGTTGTAGATGCAATATTTTCCCCCTTTATGGATTCTTAAATTTAATCTAAGGGAGTTGTCGATCAAATGAGATAAGATCTACCAATAATGTTTTTATCCAACTGTGTATTTCGTTTTATCATTAAACATATTTCTAAGATCTACCAATAGCATTCTTATCAAACTGTGCACTTTGCTTTATCATCAATCATAATTCTAAGATCCGCCAATAACGTTCTTACTCAACTGTGTATTTTACTTTACAATCAAACATATTTCTAAGATCCACCAATAACGTTCTTACTCAACTGTGTATTTTGCTTTACAATCAAACATATTTCATTTCACAATTTCACTAAGCATGGTAAAAATATCCTAAATTTAACTTAAAATGAATGGTAAATTAAAATTTAATGCATAGTATTTCATATTACTGATTTCTTGTTAAATAACATAATTTCAAATGTAAATAAACTAATTTAAATTTTATGTAAAAAAAAAGCAAAGCAATTGTTGCCTTTAATATTTATTTCTCTGAAAATATGGCTGTTGAGTAGAGAATTTATCAATATTATTATTAATTATCAATTATTATTTGAATTATTTTTTTAAAAAACTCTTTACTCGACCTATTGAGAACATTTTAAAAAAATTTATTTTAATTTTAATTTGAGAATTCGACATTACATTATGTAATTAACTATCACTCAATTCTGATTCCACCTTTGTTAATTCTAAACAAAAATTGCTTCCAATATTCATTTATAATTACGTTTATTACATTATACATTAAACATTACAGCAAAATTAATTTATATAATAATATTTTGACCACGAAAGTATGCGATCTATCCAACTCATTATGTGTGAAGAGTACAATTTGTTCAGCAATCACTATGAAATTCAGTCACAATTTATTCTCAGTCAAAAGCATTTAAATAAATAATTCCATTCAAATATTTTGTACCTTTTAAAATGCAATGCAATAATAATAAATTGAATTATAATAACTGTAAGTGAAAAAAAACAAAGGTTTGTAACTCACCTATTAGTCTTATAATGGGCAAATGCATCCTTTAATGACTTTCGGCTTTGCACAGCAGTGATTGAACAAGACCCTTTCCACCATTAAAAAGAGATTAAATGAGCCAATGCAAGGTGTTTTTATGATATCCTTTTGTCCATTCTGGGTTTCTACGTTGTGCCGTTACCCGCAACCACAATTGACAACTGTCCTCAGCTAAAAATCACACTTTTTGACGGACTCTCCTTCTTTCGTTTTTTTTTCCCCACTTGAGTTGGGTCACCAGGTGAGAGTTATTTAACTCATAAAAACCAGTCTTTCGCAAGGTTGTGTGGTGAAAGTGAATGTCATGTCGTGATAGGTAAGATGAGGAATAATGGATTAAGTCAGTTCCGCTTTTCGTCTGTTATAAATGGTTCACTCACTTTCTTTTTTTTCTCTCTCTACATAAATTTAAATGTCCTTAACATTTGAGTTACGCAATTGAGTTAAGCTAACGTTTAATAAATCAATAAATATTTATACATGAAAATGAAATTTTGTTTAAATAAATTTGTACTATTTTTATTTAAAAAATTAGCAATAAATTCTGAATTTATTTATTCATTTTCAAATTTCATTTGACTATTTTTTTTTTCTTTTTTGCGCCAAAGCTAAAATAAATATTAAGAACAAAATGTTATCGAAAAAAAAAATTATTTAAAATCAGAATCAAGTTGAATGGGTCGGTCGGTTTGTCGCACTACGGTCATTTTGTGCACATTTTAGGCTAAACAGACCGGGACCTACAGTTTAAAGTGGATTCCGAACCACTACAAAAATCCACGGAACCGCCGGGACTCGAATCCGAAACCTGTGATACCGAGCGCTAGCCACTCGGCCATCAGGTCCCTCAAATCAGAACCAAATTTTGGAGTAAAGTTTATCTCAAAATATACAAAACTATCTCTCTCGGATCAAAAATATTTTTTATTATTATTTAGCATTTCCAACTTAAGAATTCCTTGCAAAAAATTAAATAAGAATTGTGAATTTTTAATTTTCTTATTATTTAGAATTTTTATTTTATTTCTACTTTTTAGTTGAAGGTATTAATAGACAAAGTTATGCAGGTTAAAATATTTAAATACGCACCAATATATTATTATTAATTATTATTGTTATTTTTTATTATTATTATTATTATTAAAATATGCATTATTATTTTTTTGTGAAAGAAAAATTAAATTAATTTTTAATTCTACATTCACATAACACAATCTACTAACATTTATATTCTACTTGTGGTACGCCTTAATTAAAATTTGAGGATAATAAATATTAAATGATTCTTTTCCCCGCCGATAGTAATCATAACGACCTTCATATGTATTACTGCAATACACATCCTGTTGATGGCAATGCACCTCATTTATTGCACAAAAATATCACATCAATCTTTCTCCCTCGCTTTGGGGTCTAGAATTGCATAAGGGGATAAGTATTGCAAGCATGTTTAAAGAAACTTTTTCAACGCAATTCAATGGGCGACCTCATTCTATCCTTGAATCTTTTCACCGCTCGGCTTTAATATTAATTATTAAAAAAAAGCTCATTTTGTATTGCTTTTTTATTGAAAAAATAAATAAAATGTTATAGAAAATGATTAAAATTTTTCAACATACCCAGCTTGTGCCAAGTGTTAAGTATGAATTTAAGCTGATATTCGACTCTTCTTATATAACTCAATCGGTGGCATCACTGTTTTAAAAAAACGAGCATATTGCGATAGCATGTAAAGAATGTTGCAACAATAGTCATGCTAATGACGAGTTTTTCAGTTTTTTTTCTGTCATAAAACAGGCAAATATGAACAGTTACACTCTAAAATCTGAATAATAATAATAATAATAGGATTCTTTCTGGAGATTTGATTTGGTTTGTCTCTCTACGGTCATTTTTTTGCACACTTTGGACTAGTTAGACCGGAACTTACAGCTTAACATGCATTCCGAACCACTAACAAACATCCATACTGCCAGGATTCAAATCTAAAGCCTGTGGTACCAAAGGCTAGAGCGATAACCAATTGGCCATCAGGCCGCTACTTTCTGGACAATAAATCATATTTACAATTTACCATGGTTTATTTGGAACATATCTCAAAAGATTAAACCTTTTACAAAAGGAATTTTGTTCTTAAGCTGAAATAGAAGAGCTAATAGAATCATGGCATCTTAAAATTGCTTCACCTCATTTTTACTAGAGAACATTTTTACATTTTTACATTAGAAAGTAAACAATTAATCAACCCCGAGTGTCTCCACCCCTATTCTTTCACTTTATGAACATAAAATTGTCAACATTATTATTATTATTATTATTATCAAAATTGTCAATTTATTTATTCCAAAACCTGTTTTCAGCATTCCTATACCTATTTCAAATTTCTCAACAGTTCAATTTAATTGTCCAACAAATATCTATTAAACTTACATGTCTTCTTTTTCATCCAAAATATAAGCAATCTTTTATTTACTATTATATAAAAAATTTTATTTGCATAAACAAATTTTGGAATCCTTATAGGATGAACAATAATCATTTCGTTTATTTTATTTTATTTTTAAAAAAACATGAGCAATATAATAAACTTGTACAAAATTTATTCTTTATATTTAATTTTCCGTGCATGTATTTTTTTGAACAGATATGAAATCAGTCAACTTTTTGAAATTTCATGATTTAATTAAATTGTACTGTGTTGTTGTTGTTGTTGTTTCTTATCCCACTTGGCTGGCCAAGCCCACGAGCCATACGTACTCATGATTGAAGGGGAAGGAAGTAGCTTCTGTTGTGATGGAGCACCCGTGGGTAGAAGCCTGACTTTTGCTCCGTGACGCTCTTACAGTCATAGGAGACCGGGACCTACGGCTTAAAGTGGATTCCGAACCACTACAAACATGGATGGCACCGCCGGGATTCGAACCCGAAACCTGTGGCATCGAGCGCCAGACACTCGGCCATTCAGGTCCCCAATTTGCCAACGGCACGCAGTGTTCCCAGGTGGTCACCCACCCAAGTACTGACCGCGCCCAATGATGCTTGACTTCGGTGATCTAACGAGCACCGGTATATTCAGCATGGTACGGCCGTTGGCTTCGTAAAATTGTTCTCTTATACATACAAAGAAAACAGAAGAAATGGGAAAAACTTCGTATAAAGAAATTGCAATTTCTACAAAAATATTTATTTTTTAAAACATATTTATATTTCTATCACGATATCAAATGTAATTTCTACCCAACCTAACTTGTCTCTTTTTGATACAATACTCAAACCAACTTATGCTACTAAAAATGCTTTACGTGTATTAGATTTAATCAGAAAACCTGTAACACATTCAAAGAAATTCTTTAAATGTGACTCATACCATTTGACCACATTAGAACTTACATTTAACCTTGTAAGGATATTAGTGTGAAATAAAGATTGTTATTTTTTTTTTCCCTTTCATCTCATCATAGAACGACATGTGGTGAATAGAAATAATTTTTGAGGGTAACAGCATATATTTTTTTCTGAAATTTTAGTGTCAATAAGAAGAAACAAATATTTGTGGCTATTTTACAGGAAGTTTTCCTTCTTTTAGTGCAAAATTATAGTAATAATCCACTACTTCAACAAAAAAGAGTTTTGAAGGTCACTCAAAAGGGAATTAATCTTAAATCAAACATTCCATGTCAAAATATATTGGCTAAAATTTTTTAAATAAAACTATCTAGCTAAGTTTTATTTTCTCTCCTTTTGACCTGCAGCCCTCAAATTTAACAAAGAAATCTTGAATGTGCGTGAAATACAAATACTCGAAACCAGTAGAAAAGAAATATAAATCTAATACTTTAATTAAAAGTATAAAAAATAATTTTTAATTCCAAAAATTAATTTTAAAAAACTTTTAATTAAGCCTCACACAAGCAAATTTTACTAATATATAGCAAATATAGTATACATCGGATATATCATACCCTCTTAACTAGTTCATTTGTGGCATCTTCGATATATGGTTTCGATATGGCATGTATTAAAAATAATGAAAATTCTTTAACAGGAAATATGGTCTTAATAGGAAATATGATACGATTTTATAGGAAATATGATACGATTTTATAGGAAATATGAAAACAATTCCTGTATTGAACTATAAAGGAACACGTGACGGTCTTTATTATTTATTATAATTAATTTATTGAAATTGTATACTAGTTATATTTGCTGTAATTAAGTATATTTCTTCCTTAGATAATTATGTCAATAAAGCAGAATTGTTATAATGTGTAGAATATATATAGTATCAAAAATCTGATGCAATAAAATCTAAGTGACAAATTTTGATTATAAATTTTCGGCACCTCGAGGAATAATGACAAATTTTCTGTTATTTTCAAAGCAATTTTCTGTTATTTTCTGTTATTTTCAAATTTTCTGTTTTTTTTTTTTTTTTTTTGAGCTTCGTCTAAGAAATCAGAATCAGTTTGAAAAGTATACAAAATATTGGACAAATTACAAATTTGAATTGTCCTTTAATTGATAGAGACGTGGCCTGGTGGCCAAGTGACTAGATCTGGCGATTTGGTATCCCAGGATTCAGTTTCGAATCCTGGCGGTGGCATGGATGTTTGTTAGTGGTTCGGAATCCACTTTAATCTGTAGGTCGCGGTCTGTTTAGCCCTCGTGTGCACAAGATGACCAAACTTAATTAATGGAGGAAACTTTTTAAAAAATCTGCAGCTTTTCATTTTAAATCCTGTAAAGGAAGGAAAACTATGGAATTAATGAATTATTAATATGATTTTGAAAGCATTTTTGATTATTAACTCTATTGCTTCTTCATGCATTTGTATTACGCACTCCTACATATGGGTGTATAACATGTACGCTATATGTATATAACATCTACGTTAGATCCATTATCATATTGAGATATTCTCCACTTAGCATTCCCATATCTCATCAGCTCATATAAAGACAGAGAAAATTTCTATGTTTTTTAATTCATAATTCATCTGTTATAGGCAAGATCACGTAGTAAAAACTAGATAACAGTTCACTCACTTAATTCAGTTCTTTTTGGTTCAATGGCTAAGAGAACGAGATCAGTGATTAGAAATTCTACAATTTTTTGATGAAATATATGTAGAAAAAATTTACAATGGTTCATGAGTAGACAGAGATAGTCAGAGTTTTATATTTTTATTAAATCATGTAGTAAAAACTAGATAACAGTTCATTCACTTAATTCAGGTCTTTTTGGTTCAATGGTTAAGAGAACGAAACCAGTGATTCGAAATCCTACAACTTTTTATCAAATAAATATAGGAAAAATGTACTATGGTGTATGAGTAGACAGAGATAGTTAGTGTTTTATATTTTTATTCAGAAAAAATTAGATTTGTCGTGATAAATAAATAATTTTGAAAAGTATGATCAGAGTTGTACATTGTAGTGGTGAACTTACTGCTGTACTTTGTACAAAGTTGTACTATTTCGCTTTGTAAATTAAAGCTAATATTAGACAACAAAAGTAACAATAAACAATTCTGTTATTCTTTTTTATTAAGTAAAAAAAGCAGGACAACAAAAATACACTAATGATTTTTTTTTTCATTTCTTAACTTTAGATATGAATTAAATACGTGGAGATGGTATCATGGGATTTAAATATAAAGCTTTTTTTTTGTACATGTTGATTAAAATAATGAAGCTTCATCAATAAATATGCAATGATGTTTTACCGTTAAAGTATGTGAAAACTAATATACAACTCCTTAATTGTCATATACTACTGTGCCCAAAAAGTAAGAACAATTTTTTTTTTCAAGTCATTTGAAAATTGAAATGATTCTGAAAATTGATTAATGATCCACTAGTGGATAGTCCAGCCTTTGAATTTTCCTGGTAAAAGGAACGGAAACAGAGTAAAATTGTATGTGAAAACTTTAAAAATTATGCAGAAAATAAAAATATTCCTACATGATAAAGAGATACAATGAAAATAAAGCAAATTGTTCAAAAAATATCGATATATGTTCGGCTGTTGCCTGGCCTGCACGTTTACCAGATCTCTCGCCAATAGAAAACGTCTGATCCATGTTGGCGAGATACTGGCTCGTCACCATACGCCAGTCATTACGGTCGAAGAGCTGTGGCATCGTGTGGAAGCTGCATGGGCATCTGTACCTGTACGTGCCATCCAATTTCTGTTTCACTCAATTCCCAGGCGTATAAGTGCTGTTATTACTGCCAGAGGTGGTTGTTCTGGGCACTGATTTCTAAGGATCTATGCACCCAAATTTCTTGAAAATTTAATCACTTTTTATTTCCAGTATACACTGAAGTGACAAAAGTCATGGGATAGCAATATGCAAATTTTCAGATGGCAGTAGCATCGCGTAGAACAGGTATAAATGCGCAGAGCTTTCATTTCTGTTCAAGTTATTCATGTGAAGAGGTTTTGACGTGATGATGACAGCACGACGGGAATTAACAGACTTTGAAAGCGGAATGTTAGTTGGAGCTAGACGCATGGGTCATGCCATTTCGGAAATCGTTAGGGAATTCAACATTTCCAGATCCACTGTGTCAAGAGTGTGCCGAGAGTATGAAATTTCAAGCATAACATCCCACCATGGACAGCGCAGTGGTCGACCGCCTGCACTTAACGACCGAGACCGGCGACGTCTGCAAAGAGTCGTAAATTCTAACAGACAAGCAACACTGCGTCAAATAACCGCAGAAATCAATGTGGGACGTACAAGGGACTTGTCTGTTAGAACTGTGCGGAGAAATTTGGCTTTCTTGGGCTATTCCAGCAGAAGACCGACTCGAGTGCCTTTACTGACAGAACGACATCGCTTGCAGCATCTCTCGTGGGCACGTGAGCATATCGGTTGGTCCCTAGATGAATGGAAAACCGTGGCCTGATCCGAGGAGTCACGATTTCAGTTGGTAAGAGCTGATGGTAAGGTTCGAGTGTGGCGCAGACCCCACGAAGCCATGGACTCAAACTGTCAGCAAGGCACTGTTTAAGCTGGTGGTGGCTCCGTAATGGTGTGGGCTGTTTTTTCATGGCATGGACTTGGTCCTCTGGTGCGACTGGACCGAACATTGACTGGAAATGCTTATGTTCAGCTACTTGGAGATCACTTGCAGCCATTCATGGACTTCATGTACCCAAACAACGATGGGATTTTTATGGATGACAATGCGCCATGTCACCGGGCCACAACTGTTCGCGATTGGTTTGAAGAACATTCTGGACAATTCCAACGAATGATCTGGCCACCTAGATCGCCAGACATTAATCCCATTGAGCATTTATGGGACATCATCGAGAGGTCTGTTCGTGCCCAAAATCCTGCACCATCAACGCTTTCACAATTATGGACGTATATCGAGACAGCATGGCTCAATATTCCTGCAGAAGACTTCCAACGACTTGTTGAGTCCATGCCACGTCGAGTTGCTGCACTTCGCCGGACGAAAGGAGGGCCGACACGATATTAAGAAGTATCCCATGACTTTTGTCACTTCAGTGTAATATATTTGACAATAAATATTATTTTGTTATCTGCATTTCTTCCTGATGTAGCAATTTTAATGACCAGTAGTGTAATTAAGAAATGAGCAAAATGCACAACGTTCTAAAATTAACGCGTTACGGTTCTAAAGCTAACTGCAATACTAGGTAATCAAAAAGGGATGCTTAATTTGCGAAAATTGACAATAAATTTAATATTTTTACAATGAAAATGCAAAAACAAACTATTTATACCTAGCACATTTCAATGTTACCGACCCTGTTATGTATCAAACATCCTATTGATAAACGTGAAAATACATTTGATTATATCAGCAGTTACAGTTTCAGTGACAGCATCAATCCTTTCAATTAAAATTCTTTAGATTCACAGCGTAAATAATATTTTTTTTAAATATTTGTAGAAAAAACAATCCTGCTTTCCTAGATCAGGGGTCTCCAAACTTTCCAGCCTTAGGGCCATACTGTTTACTCCAGTAAGTACTAAGAGCCAAAACCGTTTTAATTTTTTTGCCATTATCTGTAATTTCTAGACTATTCACCGTGTACGCTTGCTA